ATGCGATAGCTGGCCTCACATTTTCAATTACGTGATTCAGTCAAGACTCAGTATATTGAATGATTCATTGGTAACTTTACATTTGGATATGGTCATTACATAAACACATTTGACTGTACATTTATTGATTGCGAAAATTTCTTTTGAAATGCCGGATTCATTATTCATACAACCGTAGGTAGGATGAATGCTTGGCTGATAACATGAGAATACAGTTGACCTTTTTTCATTAGATAATGGAATGAGGGTTTGTTGCGTTTTTGAGGTTCCTAATTATGGCCAGTTACTCCTTTGCTTGAGCGGGCAGAAATGGTAGAAATGCTGTGCCCCACAGTTCCAAAAACCAGTAATAGCCCTTAAAGAGCGACATCAAATGGTACATAATAAAACGTATTCTGACGAGAACACATTTATCGAGTCATGCATTGTGACATTATTAATGTGATCTGAATGAAAAAAACTCAATTGGATTGAGATTTGGACGTTCTATCATTTTATTTTCATTCTTATTACTAGAAGTATGACGATATTTATTTGTAATATCATTCAACGTACGACTGCGATCTGACAAGAATCTGCTTAAAATTCTAGTACGAAAAGCCGAGTTTGATGGTGATTGCAACCCTCAAACAAAAATGAGACACTGGAAATGTTCATCAGAAGGTCAACTCAAAACTTTTTCATTTCTTGATAACATATGCCGCACATTGAAATTAATTATCTTCCGATCTTTTCACAGTCCTGAGACCTTTGTATCACACTTTAGATAAAAAAATATGGTTAGTAAAAATTCCTGTTAAATGTTTACATTGGAATCAAAGGAAACATCGTTGGTTTTATTTGACGAGATAACGTTCGAATACCTTTCATATTCAAAGTAGAATTTTCACTTTCGAAGAGTCGCCATGATGAGAAAACTAGACTTGGAAAATGTTTTCATACCTCTTGAAATTTGACACAAATGTGACATCAACATCAGGATGGAAATGAAACTTGATCATTAAGTTGATTAGCGATTCAGTAGTTGAACTACTTAATTGGGATAACTACTGACATTTCTTGAACTGATTTACTTTTTTCATCATTTTGATCATTTTTGATTGTGATGTTTAAAATTCTTTTTGTTGCTGCAAAATAGATTTCATCTGATCTCGTGAAAATGACAAAAGTAACGTCGGCAGAAACTGTTGTAACATGCGGTGTCGGAAATTCGATAAAGATACCAGATATGCTACGACCTAATTACCCTCCTAAAATGACTACTCGAACGAGGAAGTGTATTGGTCTATCGGATAAAATACACAAATAGTCATTCATAATCCTTATGAAGATGTGAGAACCAGGAGAGGAGATTCAGATCACCACCCAGTTGTGGCCAATATGAGACTGAAGCTAAAGAAACACTGGACAACTGTGAAAACAGCAGTATAAAGGTTCAATACAGCCTCGTTCAAAATACTGACAAACTCAACGAATTCAAGATAACTCTCAACAACAGAATTTCTTCTGTACTGGGTGGCCCAATCTTCTATTTGTAGATCCTTTAAGGGGAACCAAAAGCAAAGAAACAACTACAGCTTTGGTCACATTTATTTCATCCACGTAGATGTATTTGTGGATTAGAAATCATAGAATAAAGACGTATGTTAATTTGTTTTTAAAGTTAATGGGTTATTATATCTAATCACTAAAAAAGAAATTTGCGTTTGAGATTAAAATGAAGTTGATGGTAATTACATTTGTATTCGTTTAAATGTTCTTCTCACTCAACATACAACATATTTGAAATATCTTTCTCTTTAGAAACAAGGTATTGAACAAAGGGACGTATGTGTTCATCCATAAACGTTGTTTATGTAGGATGGTTTGAGTAGGAAAATGAATTTATATTGTTTCCCATCATATAATGGCATCTCAATTTACAAAGAATAGACAAATATGCTCTAAAGGCATAACTGTTGATAAGCTGAATATAATCAGTCGAACATTTAAAAAGAATGGCTTACAACCCACGTCCACTGGCATTGATTGAAAACTCTCAATATACTGAAATATCATTATTCCATCCACATATTATAGCCTGATATACTTGAAGACTATTAATTATTTCGAATCAATACCACAGACTACTACAGGCCTGATAAATCAACTTTGAATACGATTGTACAACTTCACAAAGCGATATTTTCAAGAAGTAAGCTTTCGTCACTGAAATATCGTCATTCGTTTTGATGTTAATTGGTGATGGTCCGCGAGAGAATGTGATGCGAGATTACAGTTCACAGGTTGTTTGTTGTTTTAATTGTTGGCATTTTGTTATCTTCATTTTAGTCAACTGGACACTCATCTTTAACATTTTCACTTTACTCGAGACCATAATGTGTTTAACAACAAAGAAGAATGGTTGAATTGATCCAGAAGATAACATTGTATGACAAGAATATATTATTCTTGATGTCCCGTATTTGTTTGGCCTGAAAACAACAACACTGTTGCTTTGATTCACATAAGTTTTCATCGACAAGCATATACGGTGAAGGCACAACTGATGATGAGCTGAATATAATTTCTTCAAACCTACGCCAATTGACATTGCTGATAAGTAATTGTCAGAGAGATAGTGATGTGTGATTTGAATTTCATGTCATAAACACAGTTTGTTATCAGTACCAGAAAAAGTTTTCAACAGAGTGCTGCTGAATCGGATGAAAGACGCGGTACACGCCGAACTTAGGGATCATCAGGCTGGATTCCGTAAGGATCGGTCGTGCACAGACCAGATTGCGACACTACGGATCATCGTTGAACAATCAGTTGAGTGGAACTCATCACTATACGTCAACTTTATTGACTATGAGAAGGCGTTTGACAGCGTGGACAGGAGAACATTATGGAAACTTCTTCGACACTATGGAGTTCCTGAAAAGATTGTCAACATTATCCAAAACTCATACGATGGATTACAGTGCAAACTGGTGCATGGCGGACAGCTGACAGATGCATTTCCAGTAAGGACCGGAGTCAGACAAGACTGTCTACTCTCCCCATTCCTCTTCCTTCTAGTGGCTGATTGGATTATAAAGAATTCAACATCTGAAGGGAAATACGGAATACAATGGACTTCTCAGAATCAATTAGATGATTTGGACTTCACAGATGACCTAGCCCTCCTCTCTCATACACACGACCAAATGCAGATGAAGACAGCAAATGTAGCAGCAGCCTCTGCATAGATACCAAATCCAAGGTCAGAATCTTTAATACGAACGTCAAGACAGTCCTACTGTATGGAGCTGAAACGTGAAAAACTACTACTACCATCATCAGGAAGGTACAAGTATTTATAAACAGTTGTCTACGCAAAATACTCAACATCCATTGGCCGGATACTATCAGCAACAGCGTTTTAAGGGAGAGGACAAACCAGCTTCCAGCTGAAGAGGAAATTAGGAAAAGACGTTGGAAGTGGATCGGACATACATTACGGAAATCACCAATGTGCATCACGACTCAATCCCTAACTTGGAATGGTGAAGGGAAGCGGAAAAGAGGAAGGCCAAAGAACACATTACGTCGGAGAATAGAAGTAGATATGAAAAAGATGAATGTTAACTGGAAAGAACTGGAAGTGATTAGGATGATAACATTGTCCAACAGGGACGCATTATCGTAAATATAACAGTATTCATTCGGTCTGAATACAACACGTGTTTCATATGTTCTCTTGAAACTGTTTAGATTGAATAATGAAGCTTGAAGACTCAGTCAGGAATATGCGGTTGAATATAACATATATCCATCATACCAAATATTTGAGTACTAATCTAACATGCGTTTTCAAATATAAAATACTTTTATCAAGGTCACAATAATGATAAAAATAGTGTACAATATCTGAGAATGTGGTTTTTAAAAATAATCACGTTGTTCACCTTAGATGTTGTTTTTGGAAATGTCAATAATTGTACCTTCTTCTTGTTTATCATCATATTCTATCTAAATAATTGAATAGTATGATTTTCTCTTTTGTATAATAAACCAGATATAACTATTCAATATAATAAGGAATGTGGTTTGCTAATGATGCTTTCATATGACTAACTATCAATTACGCGTACAGAACAAAGTTGAATGGATATTTCATTTTACAAATGGTTACTAATTTTTTATAGAGAAATTGAAGTGAAAACAAGTAGGTTGTTTTCAGGTTAAAGAAAGCATTGCTTCATCTACGAATAAAATCTGTAACCCTTCACCACTATTTAATCAACATGACGTTTTGGGACAGTTCATCACATGGATAATTTCATTTGACAGTATTCACAGATTTCAAAATTTTCCTCAGTTCTAAATTCTACATGTGCAAGAACAATTAATGTGGCAGAATAACATGAATTTCCCGTATTTCGCGGTTTCTCGTCATCCACCTACAAAGTATAATTATAACATACAAACAGCCATCATCTGCGTGACAGTAGCTATTGCGAAGATAACTTACAACATTTGAAGACAAAAAGTAGTAGTAGTTGGATATAGTGAGGAGACGGTGTTGTGTTTGTGAGGGCGACTAGGCAGGGGACTGTGACTGGTCGGTGTTGTGATTGAATAATATGAAGTGTGGAAGGGACACGGGATGTAGTGAGAATGTGGGGAGTGTGACGTGATGATAGTAGTTTTGTTTGCGGTTGTATTACCGTTTTTTGAATTCGTTGTATTTATATTTGTAATTGCAATAGTAGTAGTAGTAGTTGTTGTTGTTGTTGTTGTGTGGTGTGAGCTACTTATATTGACATAAGTAGTATATATGGTGAGCAAGGAATAGAATATCTGACAGCAGAAGATTGAGAAGATCAAGAAGAGAAGAACAGAAATAAAAAGCAATTTGTGTGGAATTCCAGGAACAATGAAGCCTGAGACAATTGAAGAACATTTTGTAAATAGAGTATCATAGTATGATTTTTGCATTTTACCAAGTAACGTTGTAATTTGTGCAAAATATTAAGTTGGTTGTCTTCATCTGTGTTGTCATTAACTACATTTGGTGTCGCTGCCTCCAAGGGTGAAGACTCCATGGCCGAAGGTATTTGAGGACGGGGATGTGCTGAGCTTCCTGAAGGAGTTTGAAGCAGTGGCGGAGCTGGTTGGAGTGAAGGAGCCGGAGTCGATGACGTTGATTCAGGGGACGCTAATGAGAGGTAGAGCGAGAGCTGTATATGACAGCTTGGACGGTACTGGCGGGAAGACGACATGGGAGGTAGTCACGGAGCGTTTGATCGTGGAGTTTGACAGCCCAGTGGATAGAGAAGAAGCGCTGCAGAATTTCCGAGTGGCGAAGTTGCCGGTCGGTGGTGACCCGCTGGTGCTGGCCGTAGAGCTTACCTAGTTGTTGCGTCGCGCGCTGCCGAATCTGGACGAGGAGTTGGAGGCACAGTTGTTTATCGAGAGCGTGCCTGTTGCCATTTCGCAGCAGCTGAGACTGGTACACGCCGCGCAACCTATGGATATCAGTAAGCTTGCAAAGGTGACGCGACAGTTGATGACACGAACAGTAGCTCCGGTCACGTGCGGAAGTCAGGAGATAAATAGCATGGAGAAGAAAATTGAACAACTGCAGCACGAGATTGCGGCATTACGAATGACTCGTGAAGGGAATGATAAGTGTTACGCATGTGGAGGGACAGGACACTGGAAGATAAACTGTCCAACACGACGAAAACGGAGATATTTTAGACGTTACGTTTTTCCTTCTTACTCTAATGATCTGGGGTTGTTGCATTAGTGGATAGAGGGGCAGTCTGTGCAAGAGTGAACGTAAATGAACTAGATTTAGTGTGCCTAATCGATATAGGGCCAGCAGTTTCGTAAATAGGTAAAGAGCAATGTAAGATATTCAAGCCGTGTACAGTGGCAGTTCACACCATAGGAGGGCATATGTTAGAGGTATTGGGCGTGTCTAACAGTATCGTAAAAGTGGATGATTCTGAAATAAGTTTTCCGTTCGTGGTAACCGTAAACCTGTCGAGACCAATATTAGGAGCGGATTTCCTAAGAGAAGTAAAAGCAATAGTTGATCTAAGAAGCGGTAAGGTGGTCACGAAGTATGGTTCGTTCCCAATACATGAAAGTAGCGAGGTGGCAGAGTTAATAGTGGCAACAGCCGTTCCAACGAAGAAACCAAACATTACCGAGTTGTGCACAAAGTATGCGAAACTGTTCACTGGAGAAGGAGAGCCGTACGGATTTTGCGACAAAGTAAAGCACGAAATCCCGATAAAGAACAATGGAGTAAGTATATTCACAACACGTCGTGTCCCTGTGCACTTAGAGGCTGAAGTAAATCGACAGGTCCAAGAGTTGTTGAGAGAAGGTATAATTGAGGAGGCAGACAGCCCATATAGCTCACCAGTACTCTTGGTAAAGAAACCGAATGGAAAGTATAGATTTTGTGTTGATTTTAGAGAACTGAATAATATAACGGAACTAAAACCGTGTGCAATGCCAACAGTAGTGGAAACATTAGATCGGCTGCAGAATGCCACGGTGTTTACAGTGTTGGATTTGCGGTCAGGTTATTGGCAACTGCCTATAAAAGAGAGCGATTGAAGCAAGACAGCATTTACTGTACGTGACAAACAGTATCAATTTAGACGAATGCCGTTTGGGTTGGCGGGCGCACCATTTACGTTCAGAAGATTAATGTCGCTACTGTTCAGGGATCTAGATAATGTCGAAGTATATGGGGACGATGTAGTTGTATACAGCCAGACAGAAACAGATCATGTCAAACATGTGGAAGCAGTCTTAAAGAGAATCGAAGAATTCGGACTTCGAATTAGTAAGGACAAGTCACAGATAGCGAAAAGTAGCATCACGTTGTTGGGGCATAAAGTAGGAAATGGAGAAATAAAACTACTGCCGGAGAAAATTCTGACCATAAAGAACATTGCAGTACATAATTCGAAAAGGAAATTGAGACAGTTCCTGGAAAGGGCGGCGTTCTACAGTCGATTCCTCAAGAATTTCAACGAAATAGCAGCACCCCTTTATAAGTTGTTGAGCAACACTAAATTTTCGTGGACTGAAACCGCCCAACAAACGTATAATCAAATCAAAAACATGCTAGACTACCGCCAGATGACGCTCAGACTGCCCAAAATCAAGAAACCGTTCACAGTGACCACAGACGCAAGTGATCATGGTATAGGTGCCGTTTTGAGTCAGTCTGATAGAGTGATGGAATACGCAAGTCGCGTTCTCACGCCGGCCGAACAGAAGTATTCAACGATCGAAAAGGAGTGTTTAGCGATTGTGTGGACAGTAGACAAGTGGAGACCATATCTGTTAGGTAGACGATTTCACATCGAGACTGACCATATACCCCTACAGTGGTTACAAACAGCACGAGACCCCCATGGGAAGTTGGCGCGATGGATGATACGTTTGCAGGAGTATGACTTCAGTATCGGGCATATTCCAGGGAAGGAAAATGTAATGGTGGACTACCTGTCAAGACCAGACATGGAAGCCGAGCTTCCATTGACAGCATACACAGTGGGCAGTATAGAGGGAGAACCACTAGAACTCGTCCGGCAACAGAAATCTGATCCTAAACTTAGAGAGGTAATCAGAGTGATAAAAGAGGGAGCAGATGTTGACAAACGAGCAATGGACAAGGAGGTAATAATGTTACTTCGGCAAAAGGAAAGACTGAGAGTGAACACATATGGAGCACTGGTCTGGCAGGATGATGACAAAAATTGGGTGGCTGTGATCCCGAAAGACTGGCGGCGTAAGATGATACACGAATGTCACCAGATAGCGCATACAGGTATTACAAGATCGACGGATTTACTGCGGCAAAGTACATACTGGCCAGGTATGAGAGACGATGTGGCCCAATATGTGTTGACGTGCCAGCAGTGCCAATTAATGAAAAGCGACAGATACACGCAACCGCCATTGCAGTCAGTCCCAGTAACCGCAGTCGGCGATCTATGGTCGGTAAATGTGATGGGACCATTTCCACAGATGGATAGCGGCAAACGATACTTATTAGTTATGACGGAACATGCTACACGATGGGTCGACGCTGTACCGATTGCAGACCAGAGGGCAAAAACAGTGACCGAATATGATACTTACCGATCAGGGTCCCTGTTTTGAAAGTGACGAGTTAAAGGCCCGTTTAAAGCAGTTCGGCATCAAGAGGATACGAACTACACCGTATCAAGCTCACACGAACGGACTTACAGAAAGAAACAACCAGACATTAAAGGAATTGTTAGCATCTAAAGGAGGGAATTGGGAGAAAGAGTTACAACCAATTTTGCCGGCACATCGTGCCTCTATACAAGGAACAATCAGGAAATCACCCTTCCTACTTATGTATGGTAGACAGCCACGACTTTCGATGCATAATAAGACCTGGCCACAACAACAGAAGTGGAGAAAAACAAGATTAGGAAAAGAGAGGATAGAGGCAATAAAGAACGTGGAAAAGAAACAAATAACACACATAAAGAAGGCGGAACAGCAGAGAAGAGCGTGGAAGCCTTTTACAGTGGGGGACCTGGTAAAGTGTAGAGAACGGAAAGGTAAAATAGAAGGGTGACCAGGGTCAGGAAAGTTGATTTCTAAATGGGACGGACCGTACATTATCACGGAAAGACGTGGCTCAGTTTACACGATCCTGAGAGAAGACAAACAGAACCGTGTAAATGCCAGTCAACTGCAGAGATGGTTTCGAAAACATCATGAGTACGAGTCGCGAACAGCACCAAAGAAGATGGTACGGCAATCGAAAAGAATGCGAGAACAGCTTATTAAAAGGAGAGACCAGTGTGGTGTGGGCTAATCATATCGATATAAGTATTATGTATCGTGAGTGGGGAATAAGATTTCTGACTGCAGGAGTTTGAGAAATATAGGAAGAGAAGAATAGAAATAAAAAGCGATTGGTGTGGAAATCCAGGAACAATGAAGCCAGAGACAATTAAAGAACATTTTGCAAAGAGATTTTCAGAGTACGGTTTTTGTATTTTATTAAGCAACTTTGGAATTTGTGCTCAATATACAGTTGTTTGTCCGCACCTGTGTTCTCATTCAATAAACCATACTATTCATACTATTCTCTTCTTGATCTTCTCAATCTTCTGCTGTCAGATATTCTATTCCTTGCTCACCATATATACTACTTATGTCAATATAAGTAGCTCACACCACACAACAACAACAACAACAACAACAACAAAAACTACAACTACTACTGCTACTGTTTGCAACAGAACACGACTGTTGGACAATGGAATGTATTTAAGCAAAGATTACAAAGTATCTCAGTAAATTGTAATAACCATACAATGGACAGTTAATTTGCAAATTAACAACCAATAGTCTCCATGTTCGCCGTTTGTTCTTTGATTCCATTGCTCATGCATTTTCCAAACGATTGCGCTTCATTTGAGTTCTTTTGTCATCGGTTTTCTGCCGATATACATAGATTTGTGATTGTCAGTTGAATTAGTATCATTTATAGAATATAGAACATTTCATCTGAAGACTAAACTAGTGTCTTTTCTATGTTTTCTCCTATTGTGTTAATAAAGGTATCTATCAGTTGAATGACATTAATTTGAAAGTCATAATGAACAGAACTTTCTACTTTCTTCAAATATTCTTATAAGCTTCTGCTTGAATGGAATAATGACGTAAAGCAGCCTAATATTTTGTAGACACACGGGTCATAGTATGACCAAATCTGAGTTATTCAACGTGCAGTCCATAAAGTAACTGTGATAGGAGAGCGAATTTACGTTAAATCATGGACTAAGCTTGAATTGAGACTAGTCAGTCTATCAGTTGCTATGGCCTATAACCCATTTGTTGAATGCACATAGATTTGCAAATCACTTTACTTTTTCATTTCTCTCTCCTAATCCATGTCGTCAATTCCGACTTTGGCATTTAGATCTATCAGGATGGTAAGGTCCTTTCTTGAGCACTTAGCGAGGATTGATTGTAGTTTCTAACAGAAGTGACTTTTGCTGTCATCGGTGGATTCACAACATCGCGTAACATTCATTGTGATCCCCTCCTTTATTGTTTTCAATGATGCTTTGATAATTTCGGATCCATGAGATTCCCATTCTACAAGTGCATTTTGTACTTCTCTGGACAGCATTAGAGCAACTCTCTGAGTGTGTGGACCATTTTTCCTCTTCGTGATCGGAGTACAGCAGAATGTTTTCCGTATCTAGTCATTGCTCTTCAGCTTGCGTCCAACTACATTGAGTATCTGGACAGCGACAATCTCTATTTGCAATGTGCTATAACGTTAAAGCACTTCAATATAATTAAGGTGACTAAAAATAGGTTCAGTGTCGACTTCAGACTGTGTGTGCCTCGTAAATCTGGAATTCCATGTGCAACGCTGAAATCCTATGTCACGTGAACTGTTCTCGCATGTAGCCATCGAATCATCATTCAAACCGTAAGGCTCTATTGTGATGCTGATGAATAAAAAAACTTCTAGTTAACATCATTTTCAAGAGAAAGCTTTGAAAGAAGCTCTTGACCGTATTATAAAAATATTAACAATAACATCATGGAAGGAATCATAATCCGTCTTGATGACACCTCTATAACTATAGTTTGTCGCTCACCATCTACCTAATACGTATTAATCAAGTAACGAAATACGTATGTGTTTATCTAGGTATTGATAAAGTGTTTCGACAGATCGCTCCATCAAAATGAACACTCACATCGGACTCATAGTTCAGTGCAATGATCACGAAATCACTTATGCGTAATGCCACGTAGTTACGAGTTGAATTTGTAGAACTCATGTGATATTATGCACCTTGAATTATATGAAAGCGATAACGCGAATATTGAAAACAGTGTTTATTATTTTATAAAAAAGGATAACATCAACTATCATGTTAACAATCAAAAGCATGTACAAAGTATCATGAAATAACTGTCCAAATTAATAATAAGACAAATGAAATTCTAAAGTATTCTAATGAAAAGCAGAATTGAGACAACTTGTTAAGAGTTTTCAGAGCGATTTATAAAATTTTTTTATGGATCATTCATCACTTCTCTTTCTTCTAAGTAACCATCTCCAAATTATACAACCGATGCATATAAGAAATAGTGAGGCGACCAAAGGAATTACAACGTACAAGTACCAATGTGACTTGTCTTGCTTATTTTCTTCCGTTGTCCTTGTAGTCATATACTGATAAAAAAGAAAGGATTATCAGTTTTCAACAAATATCAAATATTTACCGATTGTTTATCTGTTTCTTCAGTAGTTTTCATGAGGTTTTCACTAACCTGAACCTCAGTGATCCCCGATGTTGTTTCACTGTGTTCCATAGTTGTTGAACTATTCAAATCTTTGACATCCGACTTCTTCTAAAATGATATAATCAGAAGCATTGATTACTAAACATCAAATATCATTCTTTTAATTCATTCCACAAAACGTTGCAGAATTTACATACGTAAAAACCTTCAGGATATCTTTTAGCGATTTAACAATCAATATGCTTAGCAAACACTATCCTACAGCTGGTTGACGACTCGATGATATAATGAAATACGTGTTCTTACTGTCAAATCTAACCACAAACCGAATATAAATCAACAGCCTTATAACTGATAGCTTCATTGAAGCAATCTATTGAGGTTATATATTTTTCTACAGAGTATTATAAATCATTGTTTCGGAATTCGACAACTGGAGTACCAATGTACCAATGTGACTTGTCTTGCTTATTTTCTTCCGTTGTCCTTGTAGTCATATACTGATAAAAAAGAAAGGATTATCAGTTTTCAACAAATATCAAATATTTACCGATTGTTTATCTGTTTCTTCAGTAGTTTTCATGAGGTTTTCACTAACCTGAACCTCAGTGATCCCCGATGTTGTTTCACTGTGTTCCATAGTTGTTGAACTATTCAAATCTTTGACATCCGACTTCTTCTAAATGATATGATCAGAAGCATTGATTACTAAACATCAAATATCATTCTTTTAATTCATTACAAATTTACATTCATTACAAATCATTTCAACTCCGCCTGTAGCTCTTCTAGAGTTACTGCCGGTCCCAAGCCCGGGTAAGGGAGGAGGGTTGGGCTTGGGATTCGCAACCCCATCCGTAGAAAAGATAACTAGCTAAAAAAACGCTAACAGGGAAGTGAAGAAAAGCATTAAATCCGACAAGCAGAAATACATGGGAGAACTAGCAACGGCGGCGGAAAAAGCTGCAAGGGAAGGGAATATGAAACAAATATATGATACAACGAAGAAATTGGCAGGGATAGAGCCAACCAGAGAGACCAGTCAAAGACAAAGAAGGAAAGACAATCACTAAGATTCAAGAACAGAGGAAAAGATGGGCAGAATACTTCGAGGAACTGCTGAATAGACCAGCCCCATTGAATCCACCGAACATCGAAGCAGCCCACACAGTACTTCCAATAGATGTCACTCCACCAACGATCGAAGAAGTCAAGATGGCCATCAGACAAATCAACAGTGGGAAGGCGGCACGACCTGACAATATACCAGCTGAATCACTGAAGTCAGACATTGAAATAACTGCAAATATGCTTCACCTTCTATTCAAGAAGATTTGGGAAGAGCAACAAGTACCAACGGACTGGAAAGAAGGATATCTCATCAAGATACCAAAGAAAGGAGATCTGAGCCAATGTGAGAACTACAGAGGCATCAGTTTGTTATCAGTACCAGGAAAAGTTTTCAACAGAGTGCTGCTGAATCGGATGAAAGGCGCAGTAGACGCCGAACTTAGGGATCATCAGGCTGGATTCCGTAAGGATCGGTCGTGCACAGACCAGATTGCGACACTACGGATCATCGTTGAACAATCAGTTGAGTGGAACTCATCACTATACGTCAACTTTATTGACTATGAGAAGGCGTTTGACAGCGTGGACAGGAGAACATTATGGAAACTTCTTCGACACTATGGAGTTCCTGAAAAGATTGTCAACATTATCCAAAACTCATACGATGGATTACAGTGCAAACTGGTGCATGGCGGACAGCTGACAGATGCATTTCCAGTAAGGACCGGAGTCAGACAAGACTGTCTACTCTCCCCATTCCTCTTCCTTCTAGTGGCTGATTGGATTATAAAGAATTCAACATCTGAAGGGAAATACGGAATACAATGGACTTCTCAGAATCAATTAGATGATTTGGACTTCACAGATGACCTAGCCCTCCTCTCTCATACACACGACCAAATGCAGATGAAGACAGCAAATGTAGCAGCAGCCTCCGCATCGATAGGCCTCCACATTCACAAAGGAAAAAGCAAGATTCTCAAATGCAACACGGAGAACACCAACCCAATCACACTTGATGGCGAAACTCTGGAAGAGGTGGAAACATTCACGTACCTGGGGAGCATCGTTGATAAACAAGGGGGATCGGATTCAGATGTAAAGGCGAG